AATAAATTTTGAATTCATATTGAAACAACAGGTAATTTTGACAAGCTTTTCATTTAATAGATGACGATCTGGTATTTTATGTTAAAAGGGTGGAAAACAAGAGTATGGTCCGCCACCACAACCTATAGACACTTGCGATAAAAAAAAAAATATCACGCCGTTGCCTACCCTAACCCATTCAATCCCACCAAAAAAAAGTGTTATTTTTCTGTGTTCATCTGTAAGGTGTAGGAAATTTAATCTAATTACATCCCCTGACGGGCGCTCCAATTCGAACGGAAAACCGCTAGGCCCTACCCTCTCATAAGTGTAGCTATAAGTGAATAAAATCCGTAATGGAGATAAATGCTAAATTATTTTAACACCCCTTCTTTACACATAGCCTTGTAACATATCAGTTCTCAAGTGGGCCTTAGAGGGACTCCTTCTCGCTGATTAAAGGTCGAACATGTAGGCATAGAAACCTTCTCGGATCGTCTGGCTTATTTATTACATACGAAAATTCATAATATTCTTGTTACAGCATGTATACGCGTCGCCACTTTTTGTTGAGAGTTTAGAATTACCGATCCTTGTAATTTACGCTGAGCGAAGTTTGAGCATTCTTTTTCTTTATATTAACAGTTTTAGATATATTTGATTATATCAGGTTTTCTACTACTTTTTTATGTAAACCATCAATTTCTGAATTAATAATGGATCACATTATAATATAATAATATTTCCAAAACTCACATCAATTAGCCTAGCCCCAAAGTAAGCACTATACGGCTTGTATTATGGGATACTAGGGTAACGGATAGAATATATATACTGTACATAATAACTATATTTTTATAGAAATACATATTAAAAATTGACATAATACATATTTAATATGACTGGAGTACAAATGTTCATATTCATCACACAAACATCTGGCCGCACTGAGATTTGAACCCGGGACCTCTCGAGTCGGCGACACCATGAAACCTGGCGTACAAACCACTCGGCATTATGATAGTAATAGAAAATTGCTAATTTTGTTTCGAAGTTCCAAACTAAACGATAGGGAGAACCCTCGACGGAGTTGAAATCAAATCCTCTTTAATTACTAGCGGCCACTCCCAAATTATATAGCAGAGCCGTTAAGTAGGTTGGCCGGCAAGACTGAAGAAGGGTGGACGAAAATATATAATCAACTGGAGTAAGAGATGTAAGCAAGCCTGAGCCTGCGAGTTGATTACGCGCTTGTGTTTCAAATGTTGGTTCCGAAGCGATAAAATAGCGTTAGGTAGGACAACGTAAGGAGTTTTATACAAAGACCGAACTTCAGATGGGACGGCGGCGATCCATTTCTGATTTCACCTTCTGGAACCTTGAAGGAGTACAAAGACATTTTTCATTTTTTTAAAATAAAGCTAGTAATAGTTTATATAGGATAGGATTGGATGAGAGCTTAAATGGGAAACCTATTATTTAACGAAAATTTAGTCATGGGTACAGGCTAATAGGCTAACTTACTTTAAGCAAGGGTATTGATCGAAACATTATTAAAATGTAATTTTAAAGTTTCAATGAAATTCACAAAACAGTCATCATACTAGGCGGACTCTTCTCAGCGAATAGCCAGAAATTCAATGACTCAACTTTGCGTCAGGAAAATTAAGTGGAAAATTTCGTCCCTCTTCTATTTATCAGAGATTCGGAAGTTCAGTGGGTATTACCAAGTTGGCGGCGAAGCTTATCCTTTCACACAGTTGAGCAACAAGCGAGTTTCTTTAATTTAATTCCTAAATTACGAAAGTGAATTACATTAATCTGGTACTGTTTCGAACAATTGAAATTTAAAGCGGCGTTACACTTGATCTCATTAGTAGAGTGTGTGGATTTTCTTGGGAATTGTTTTCCGAGACAGCAGCGTGAATATTTAACAATCAAACAAACGACGCCAAAGTGAATTTAATAACATTCAATTACGATAAGACCGTTCCCATTTTGCTTAACGTCAGCCATCATATTAGGCTATTTATAAAAAATAAAGTATTTTTAACAGAGGGCTAGCGGATACGGGCATGGGCAAGTATCCTCTACCTTACAGAAGTCAACAGTAATATAACACTACCTTTTGGAACACTACCTTTTCGTGGTGTTGTGTTTATGACGGTGAGTAAGGTTCCAGGGCTCCATGGGGTAAGGAATTGGATCAGCGCAGGCAACGGTGTGAGTAATATTTTTTGTATCACAAGCGTCTAAAGCAGTGGTGCCCAAGTGGTATTGCTGCAAGGGCTATTTTGAAAATCCTGATACGCTACGCGGGCACCCTTAATATAAAAAATAAAAGTGAATTAAAGGAAACAACATTATAACGACTTAATACCATGCAGCGTAATTAACTTATTGTTTATTTAATTTATTTCACCAAATTTGTTCACGGGCGCCTAGAATACAGGCCGCGGGCTACCAGGTGCCTGCAAGCTACCGGTTGGGCACCACTGGTCTAAAGGCTATAGTGGCCGTTTACCAGGCAGGCTATAATCTTTTTTTACCACCCTTTTAACATAAAAAAAATATATTAAATATTGTAAAACCTAGACTGAATTGCTTTTCAAAAGATTTTCAGTAAACATTGATCGGATCGGTGCTTAAAATTAAATTAGAAAAGTTACTACTCACATTACGGCAGTGACAAATAAAAGGATGGTAATAAACTAAAGATCCGAAAAGGAGGTTGGTATTTAATCCTTTTATTTCTTGCGTGCGCGATCGAGGCAGTAAATCAGCGAGGCGAGCCGTTCCTATATTTTCGAAAGGGACTCGATAAATTTACCCTCCATCGCGAAATGGCTTTTATGTGCAAAAATTCTTGTTTGTTTATTAGATATTTTATACGCCCATTGTGTGCACACTCAGCTCTTGATTATTCATAACCCTTTTTATATCTTATTGTTTGTTGTCGTTAATGTGTGTGCTTAATAGCCTCACTACGTTCGTACGTAAAAGTACAACGATCACTTTTTCATAACTGTGAGTGTGTTAGTATTATTTAAAACGTTTGAAATGATTTTGTACGGTTCACGTGGAATATATAGCAAACGGATTATGTTATTAATGTATTTAATGGCATCATAAATCTAGATTATTATTGCTCGTAATTTGGTGGTTCATACAGTTGCTTTTGTATTAGCTTCATCGAAAGGATTTGTGTGAGTGAGTATTTGTCGTGTGAACAACGCTCAAAAATATATGTATAATATCAGTTTTATAAAATGAAATGTGTGTATTAAGATAAGGGAGGATATACTTACTTTAATTGGAACTTTGTTAATAATTTTAGGGATAAGAGAATCAATGATTGGGTAATAGCACTTTGAAAATGGAATATCGTAGTAAGTTAAACAAGATAAAAAAGATAGAAAAATACGTAAAAGCTAAAAAATCGAAAGGAAATAAACCATTTTGTAGCTCCAAGCTTCTTTTAATGTTTTAGTTTTTTCATATTCATTCATTAAAGTCCATTGTTTAGTTTAAAAATATTAAGTTTTAGTTCCTGTTTTTGGTAATAAAGAATAAATAAATAAATAAATAATATTTTTGAGACAAGGACCGACTTACTTAGAAGAAGCACTAGTAAAAAAAATAATATTAAAACATATTATGATATTATAACATAGGTTTAATTTTCTATAAACCTACATACACATTTACTAATTTTATTTGTTGTTTTATACATTTTTTTATATTTCCCTTTTTTTGACTAATTAAATTTGTATAAAATAAATGTCGCAAATACAGTCAGTGAATGCTTTGGTTGAGGCTTCATTGTTGTTCGATAAGAATAAAAAAGAGAATTAAAATATAGGTTGGGGAAACATATTTTAATTGAGAAGTCGTGAAATCAATATTTTTCCACAACGTCTCAAAATCTTGATTAGGTTTCATGCCTGGGGGTCAATTGCCTCTAGGAATTGCTATGGCTATCGCTATCGCTTACGATTTCATTTTGTTATTTTCTACCGTCGATGGCTTTTAAATGCCTCGCGCCCTTTTTTTTCTTTTGCACTGGTAATAAGAATATTAAAGAAAATGAGCGTGAGGTATTTGAAAACCTTTGGCGGTCGGAAATAACAAAATGAAATTGTAAGCCATAGAGAGAGCCATAGCAATCCCCTTAGGCGATTGCACCCCTGAACTGCTGACTGAACTATTGTACTATGGCTCATGTAAAACTAAATTTTACAAAATAAGTCGATCACGTTTTATATAGTATTATACTCACTATACTTATTATTGTGATAGTCGCCAGTACATTTCAATACTACTACTAATTAATTCTGTAAAAATTTCAGGTATTTACTTACTCCTGTTGAAGAGATAGATTGACCAGGAGACAAATCTATAAGATTCCATTTCTTGAGAACGAAACCCTAATGAAAGCAGACACGTAATCAATAAAGTCGTATCTGCTATTAAGTCCTATTTATACGCAGAATAAACCCATAGAATAAGATCCATTTGGTATGGATAGAGAACATTAACCAAATCTATCGGGTAACATCGTCATAACTTATGCCTCTGAGTGGAGGCCCATCGTTATAACGAGATTTACTGCTAGGTATAGTAATTTCGTACCTTTCATACAATATATCTCGTTTTATCTGTGGTCTTGATTTGACAGCTTTGTTTAATACGAAATGGGCGTTACATATTTTGAATTATATTTTAAGTGAACACTTGTATTTTAGGTCTCGTATTGATTTTTGAGTAAAGTAATTAAATATCGTTTTATATCCAACGGTAAATAAATAAGAATTTTTACATAATTTCTTTATGTATATTTTAATGTTTTGTAAAGTTAACTCTCAGCAATTCTGCTTAAAATAAAGAAGTATCAAAGTTAGTAAGTTATGTTTCGGGGCAATTCTAAAATAATGTGAAAGTAATATACTGTCTTGTATGTATAAATACGGTACAGTACAAAATACACGCTAAGATAAAGGCATGTAAAAGATTCCACTTACCATCCAAATACACTACTGCTGATACAGATTTATCATTTTCTATAACTGGGCGAACAGATTCGTAAGAAATGGTATCTAACAAATTGTCCCTTAAATCTAATAATATAACACTTCGTATGTCTTCCAGAATATCTTCGTAGAAACCTGTTAATCTGTTATTGGCCAATGTCAGCTTTCTTAGTTGAGTTAGTCCACCAAAAGCTCTATCTGATATATATTCAAGAGCATTATTATCAAGCATGAGTTCTTTTAAACTCCAAGTTTCACTGAATGCTAAATTTCCAATCATTGTCAGTTTATTATGTCTCAAGTTCAGCCTCGAAAGATTTTCCAGTCCTTCTAAAGTTTCTTTTGTTATAACTGATATTAAATTATTGTCCAATCGTAATTCTATTAGATTATTCAAATGCTTGAAACAGCCTTCGTGAATTAAACTCAAGTTGTTATTCGATAAATTCAAGATGTGTAAATTTGGTAAATTGAAGAAGACATCTCTTCTCAGTTCTGATATAGAATTATCTTCCAGGCTCAAATTTGATAGCATCATCATTTGAGCAAACGAATGTTTCTCCAGTGTTGTGATCTTGTTTACTTTCAACACGATCTGTTTTATGGTAGATGAATTAGTGAAAGCGTAAGGTGGTATAATATTTATACTTGCAAACTGTATAGACAAATATTTGAGATTATCAAGTCTAACGACTGCTTTAGCTGGGATGAAAGTGAGTCCATCATCTGATCTAACATTAAACATTAGGTCCTCTATTTCAGACTGAGATGAGAAATTTGGCCATATAGGATCGTCTTCTGTCAACCCCCCACCAAAAACCCAGCAGTCTGCTTTAGTGGCCATTTTTGGTTTACCACTATCACAATAGCAATGAATTTTGGATCTACGATCCTTTATGTCACAAACATTGATAAATGCAGGTACATTGTAGTATCTTCTTTCGATTTTCGGTTTTGTATCATTTTTGCTTTCTGTGACTGTTAGTTTCACTGTCATTAGGGAAGCGATGATGATAAGGTACTTCGTTATTTGTTCCATTGTAGTAATATCTGTAACAAAAATAAATCATTATCAGTAATATAAATCCAATTATATAAACTTTTTTGGATCTGAAATTCCTTTGATCGAACGTAAACATTATTAAAATTATTTCCTTTGTATCATTTTATATGAAAAAATGGTTTTGTGTTCAACAAGATTGTAAGCATAATGACTTACGAATTAACGAGTCTACAATACTTCGTATTTTATTGTACACGTAGAAAGCGGTGTGTAATAAATTATGAGTGATTGTGTGCAGAAAAATGTAAGAAACATTCTAATAGCCGATAAAAAAACTAATTTGACTTATAACTTTCAAAATCTAATTGAAAAAGTGTGTTTGAAACTTAAAAGCATAACCGTTTTTACAAATAGGTATTCGATTAATTATTACCCAGTATCGACTCAACAATAAATCCAACAATAACTCCATCCGTTACATAAAGAAATATCTTTTATGTTTCACATTTAGAACTTACATAATTATAAGACTACGTTATAAGTTTCTTCATTGGACTAAGTAATCATTTCTTTTTACTTTTAATGCAGTAAAAAAACGACCGCATGACGTAATGTGAATTTCAGCTACACCCCATTTTCACAGAACGAGGTCGCTTTAATAAATCACTAGTCAGTACCTACTAGTTGTCAACAATTTTGAACAAATTTCAACGTAATTAAAATGGTGAGAAGGCTGTTTCGGGTTTTTCATCACAAACTGGAACATTTCACTGCCAGCTTAGCGGATTTGAAACTATGCAGTTACTTTTGACCAAAGTTTTGCGGCCGGATTAAAAGTTGAACATTTGCTTTGTTAAAACTGAATTATCAGCCGGCGCAAAGTTTTTATCTTTTGTTTACAGAAGTGTGTTTTACGGCATATGCAAGTTACAACGTTCGCTCATGCAGTTTCTCGTTTACTTTCTTTTCTAGTTTTTTCTGTCTATTTTGTTTCTGCATTATATTATTCTGGAAAATTCGCAGATAGACAGCACCGAAACTGAATTATCAGCGACGCCGATGACATAATTACAGCAATGCGTGCGTGACAACGTGTTTGTCAATATAAGCCTTCTTTAATAAAATAATTTTAATGACACTTTTCTTGGCATATTTGGGGAGGCAGTACTGAGGTGTTTTTTATATGTACTTGGTATCCAAAGATTGACAACAAACGGAATCGTACCAATATGCGTCCGCAAGGGTCTACCGCTTGAAATAGGTATAAACCAAAAGAATACAGCCACAAGTATAAACACATATTTATTTTTATACATAATTATGTTTTTGCTATGAAAGGTATATTATATTTAGTATATTCCAGTTAATTCAAACCAAAGATGCTTGATTCACATCCACCGTAAATTCACAGTCCACTCAAAAGGCTACGATTATCACGCTTGCAAATATAAAATAACAAGCGACCGCCTGCGACTTCGTCCGCGTAATCTTTAGTGTTTTGAAAATCCCACAGGAACCTAACATTTTTCTGGGATAAAATATATCCTTTCCTCAATCCAGGTCATATATTATATGCATACCATATTTCACCCAAATCCACTCAGTTCAGTATTGTTCTAAATGAGTAACAAACAGACAAACCAAATATATTGTATGGAAACTTATATTTAATATGCAGGGCTCCGCGGGATAGGAGATTAGGTTCAGGCCGGCAAGGTGAGAGGATTGCTGGAGCGGCACACTTTCTGTCGCATTATCTATCTTCGCGACTGGACTCCACTTATAGTAGGGTCATTTGTTGCACCTCATAAAAAAACTTTATATACCTAATACGATACCTATATTTATAAATATATATATATAAATCAATTGCTGTTCGTTTGTCTCGCTAAAACTCGAGAACGGCTGCACCGATTTAGCTGATTTTAGGTTTAAAATGTTTGTCGTAAATATGGAAAAATTTCGAGGAAGATAGTAAAAACAACAATTTTATTATCCAATAAAAACTGTTCTACCTACTTTCCAGCCAAAAACTAACAGAACATGACCGATCAAAATTTTGAGCCATTATATTTTTAATGTTGTTAGGATAAGGGATACGAAGTACACCGGGTCATCTAGTATATTATATTGTAAATAAGGTGATTAGAGATCAAAAATGGCGTGAGACAATGCGCAACGGTCCGCGCACAATTGGGCAGATCATAATTTTATGTAGCATACATCTTACACAGAGAAAATATGTAAATGATTTCTTGGGAAAATACTTAAAAAGCAACTTGTGACTCATTTCTAAGACAAAGTTTCCCTTGTAATATGGAATATATTACAAGGCAAACTCAAAGAAGAGCTAAAATATTTTTTTTCTTTCACAAATAAAAAAATTCTCCATCCCAAGTTATCAAACTTAAACTCGATGACAAAACGAATATTAATCTCCAGTCCGCATTGTTATTCAGTGTACATAATAAATCTTCGCATGACCGATATTTCTGAAAGTCACTATCCTTTTCGTTTGAATTGAAAACTTCTTCGTTTTTGCGTCCGGCCGAGATCCTTTCAAAGCATTTCAAAGCATTTCAGCTCCAAATAAATATATGCGGGAAACATAGGGTCATTACAAAACTTTTCTCGAAGTCATGATGGGACAAAACTTTCTTTTTGTGTAATCCTGTTTTGATGTATTAACATTCATGGGCATGCAAGTACCATTAATTCTCAGAGATACACGCAATATTATTAATTTCGTGCGTCTATGGTTTTAGTAGAAAAATGCACTGAAAAACAAATCCATGACCTGTGGTGGGACGGCCTGACAGATTAATGGCCATTTATTTTCGCGCATTATTTCCCTTAAAAATTAAGCTTTCATTTTACGCAGTATTATATGGTTTTGAATTCAACTTTTTTAAGTGTGTTATGTGTTTTAATGTACGTGCGTATTGACGTACACGAAAACATATATCGAACGAGAGACAATGATAATAATGATATTCAAAAAAGCAATCGAAATCTACTCCATGGCGACAAAAAAAATTGCCGGAACTGCGTAGGATCATGTGTATAAAGTATATGTATATATATTGTATCGGTAAAATATATCATTTTATTTATTATAATTGATTTCGTGGAATGTACACAATGTAGCAAAAAGCTTCAGGAAATCAGCGAAAAAGTTGTATTAGAAATATTTCCTAGAAATTATTATACTTATCATAAATAGTTACCGGAAATGTTATTTTGTGGATAGTTATTAGGATAAGGTGTAGCTAAGGTAACAGGAGTACAGAATAGAAACAGATCGTGCTCGGTAATTTTAGAATAATGACAAAAAAACTATTAAGCAAAAAAATAAACAGGCGGAAAAGCTGAAAAGCAGAAAATAATATTTTCTTTTATCTTTAATCAATTTAATATTTGGAATCGGTGCCATACATGTCTGATAGATCTGAGTTCCCATTTACTACTTGGGTTGGCATGGCACAGACTCCAATTATTAATTTGATTAAAGATAGAAAAGGTTTATAATTTGTGTTTTTAAGTTTTTTCGGTGGCTTAATTTTATTGCTCAAAAGTTTTTATGTTATTATTATTTGCGGCTTTCATTTTTTATATATACATCTCGGCATCAAAATCTGTGAGTGAACAATCAGCCCTGTTTCCTCACCCTTCGGGTGTTACTATATTAATCTAGGATCAACTTCTATCCAATAAAAACCAAGTGCGTGTCGTGCCACGCGGACTGTAGGGTTCCGTAGATGATTTTCAATTCATGGTTTTACATGATATAAGTAAGCAATTACTTCATCTAAGTCACTTTTTATATAATCTTCTAAGGATTTTTTATTAGTAAACAATTTTCTAATACGACTGCTACTGTGAAACTAACTGATCTATCTTAAACGCCATAATTTTATTTTTAATTTCTTGAAAATCACTATTTATAGTTGTAATTTCTATTTTTTAAGCATGTAACTACTTGATGTTTAAATCTAAAGAAAATATAACTAGAAAAAAATCCACGTGGACGAGGCAGCAGACGGGACTTGAAAAGCTTATGTTTCAAAAAGTCAATAATAAACTACCAAGAGGCCACAGCCCTAGATATTCTGACAAAATTCTTTCAATTCGGATCACCAAGCTGCTCGCCACGACACCAAGAAAAGGGACAGACGGAAAACATCGATAAAGAAAAAAATAACTTCCTTTATGAGGATTCACGACCCTTCGTAATGAGAAATACGGCGGAGGATCGAGTCACACTTTTATTTATCCTAATGATCATTACACATAATACTAATGATATTAATCGATTAACTTTTTTTTCATGTACCTATTTGTGTCTAACTTTACCCTAAAAGTAGCGTACACAGATTGCGGGACTGCTTTAAAAAGAAAAACAGGAAAGGGTATGCCGAAAAGTAAATTATAACTAAGTTGAAAAAAAATCAGAGAAATTATACATAGATCAAGCCCATTTATAAAAAACTCAGTTCCTATAAAGAATAAAGTTAACTAAACGCTCCCATAGACCAAAATATTTTATTAAGTTCCAACTTAGTTGATAAATTGGAAAAGTTATTTGTTACTTATTTAGTGTATAAGCTGAAATACTTTGAGTAATTGTTTAGAGTTAGGTATTCTCTCTAGTTTTGCTGTTCATTTGTGCTGCGCTAATGAGGTGAGGCATTAAGTTTAGACAACATCCAATGTGGCACATGACCTGTTTAGAAATACAATATTTTATAAAAAAAAACCTACTTGTCCTACTTGGTACTAATATTATAAATGTTTATAGTTTGAGTGTTTGTATCTTTGTTACTCAATCACGCAAAATTGGCTTTACGAATTTGCATGAAATTTTACACATAGACAATTTATAATCTGGAAAGAGACATAGAATACTTTTTATTCCGAATTAATGTTAGGTTTATTCTCAAAAAACTTAAGTTAATGCGGACGAAGTCACGGGCGACCACTAGTTTCATAGTACTTAGTACAATTATAGTGGCCAACCACTTTAGGCTTACTTCCCTTGTTAGACACA